GATAATGCAGCATTAAAGAAATACAAAGCCTAAGAACAAGTATTTATGTAATATCATTTAAAATATCATCTAATTTGTCTTCTTGAATGATTCAAGAGGACCAGTCTCATTGGTTTTATCGGCATGTAGACTGGGTTTCACGAATGTATGCTCTTTAGATAGGTAAAGCCCGGTCTTCTACTCCATATATGCTTCATTAGGTGCATTTTATCAATTCTCGAATATAAAAATAAAAATGAGAATTTTTCTTTTTAATATGAAATTAGTGACGTGATTGAATCTCCCCTTAATACAATAAAGTGCACAATTCCAAATTGAATAATAATACGGGATTAGTGACGTCATCGAATTTTGTTTAATACATTAACGTTTACAATTCCAAGTTCTAATGTGTAATATGATTCCTGCATTTCAAAACTTAAGCATCGTCGGCTTGACTGGCCTTTACCTTACCTTTAAATGAAGAAAAAATCTGATAGATATCCATGCATAAAATAAATTGAATTTCTATCTTAACAAAGGTTTGAATTAATTCCAAAGTTTTTATACAAACGCGTAAGTTTGAAAACAATACCAATCAATTTGTGTGCCTCTAGAGACAACAGTAAAAATTTAATGAATAAATAGTTATAGATTGATTGTTTTTATACCACTATTGCGTGATAAATAGTTTTCTATACTTTAAATGTGCCTCAGAGAACCGGAAAACCTGCTATAGTATATCTACTTGAATGTATTTCGATCTCTAATTAAAATCATTCGGTACAAGGAGTAAATTTTACAAAATTTGATAAAATCAAACTTAAAGGATAATTTAATAATTTCAGTCCACAAAACATAATAAATATGTTATAACATGGGAGCCATGTACATCTTATTTATAACAGTGATCCGCCATTGATCTTAAACGAACAAAATACCTTAATGCATATTTGGAAGGTAATTGATGCCCTAATGATTCGGAATAAGTTTCATCGGTCAATTGGTAAAATGTTGAAATTCGTGATTGACAGGAAATGCTAAGGATAATTCTATCTGTATAGCACTAGTAGATAGGACTTATTGGTGTAAAACTCCATCTCGGGTTCATTTCTTAATATCACCGAATATTCTATCCAATCGTATAAATAAATTGTGCTAACAAAGAGTGTGTTATCTAATTCTTAACTTGGATAAAATAAAATCACGTGAGAATGAAATTGAGAAGAACCAAGAGATCCGAATGTACTAATTAATTATTAATGGAATAATCGAAGAAAGGCGATTGGCAAAAAGTTTTCCCTAGAAAGTTCCTCGCTCGCCGATTAATTGCCTCTATAATATTCTGGATTAGACTGAATTAGTTCCAAGAATGGTTTCATGAGGAATAGTTTGAAATATTAGGCTTCTCTATAAAATGGAGACGATTATAGTTGTGTCACTGCTTCTAGTTGCCTTTCTGGACGTCAATTTGTGTGGAAATCCAATGAAAAATGAACAATGTGAATATGATATGGATTTAGTTAAAAACACAATGAAGGTTGTTTGCAAAGGAGAAACTGCGGGTGTTAACATTATTGTTCCAAATGCTGTTGTGAACCAAACTCCTAACAGATACGAATCTACAAGGGAGTCTCCTCCTCCAGTTGATTCGGATCCTTGGGTACCGTACGGTGATATGCATGCTGGACACACCGTCCCCTTATCGGAAGCAGTAACAAACTCTACCAGAGCCATAGATGGATTGAAGAGTCGTTTATCGCAGCATTCGAATGCGATGGATAACATAACATCTCTGTTGACTTCTGGTGATCGAGGTTTGACCTCTGATCTTCGAAAGTTGAGGAAACATTCACCAAGCAGTGAAACTCTGAAAGAAGGCATGCTAGCTGCCATAAGGAACCAGTACAACTTTATGAGGACAGCCATCTTAACTCAAAATGCAGAGCTGAATAAACTGATTGATTCTTTGAACAAGTTGTTGGACGTAACTTCAAAAGGATTGCAAAGCGCTGCCAGAGCAGACAAGGATATTGTCGACCAGATTGGTTACGTGAATCAAACCATGATCACAATGAGAAGAATGATGTCGACAGAGTTAAAGCGACAGAGGCATGAACCGACAATATCAAATCTAGGTATAGTATAACCCTTCATTTTTCAACACCACAAAACTGCGAGTTTTACAATGTCGCCCATTTCAAGTCAGGATAATTTATGTTAACATTTACTTGTCAATTTTGACATTTCGGGATGTTGACGCGAGTTTTGGATACAAAAGTAGCTGTCGAGGTTGAGATTCAAAATTCGGAAACTTCGAGGAAGTGCATAGACTCGAAAAAAATTTTGAAAATAGAATAGATTTGGTGTATTCTGAGACAAAAGTTTGGGGCTAAGACGTATAAAAATCACATTTTGTATTTTTTTAAAGAAATTAATAAAGTGGAAGGTGCAATATTTGTACCCTCACTTGCGACACCACTGACAAATGATTGTACATCCCATAACCTGAGTCATCTCACATTTTGTAACTTATTTTATATTGTAGGAAAATGTCCGTTGGAGATAGCTGCAATTGGTAATGGCCATGCTATGGATGTAAAAGTTCGGAAAGGAACGATTATGAGAGACGGTGCTGATATCAGTGACAAATTGTGGATCATGAAAGGTGGAAGATCCTCGGATCAACTACTTGAGTATGATTCGGAGATTGATCAAGAATATCAGCTAGTTTCACGAGCCCACACTCTTCCGTTCAGATGTGAAGGTACAGGTCATGTGATTTACAGTGGCAATCTTGTCTGTCAAAAGGCAGACAGTAATGTAGTCGTGAAGTATGATTTACAAAAACTCTTGATTGTGGCAGAGGTAAATTTAGGAAAAGCGGGAGTTGCGGGTACTTATCCCTATCAATGTGGTGGATATACGGATATCGATCTGGCCGTTGACGAACTCGGATTATGGGTCGTTTACGCAATGCCTGATTCTGCAGGCAAGATGATGATCAGTAAATTAAATCCAGATAGCCTGATGATTGAGAAAACGTGGATGACTCGATACCCCAAAGCAATGGTAGGAAACACGTTTATGATCTGCGGTGTCCTTTATGGGACCAATTCTTACAAGGATTCACCAACTTACATCAAATACACGTACGACACCGAAACCGGGCGAGACAAAATCCTTAAAGAAGGCTACATCAATTTTGCAAATGGGGTAAAACAGAAGCAGTCGAATACAGTAATGTTAGACTATAACCCTGGGGATAGACGTCTTTATGCATGGAATAAC